AGATCTAGATGCAGCTGCTGTATGTTACCTAGTTTCCAGAACAAATAACCTCTTCTCAATATGTGTTTTAGAAAAGAAGATGGTATTTGGAACAATGTCTTCCTCAAGTCATTAACATATTGGACCACAGTTTTGAGTTTTTTATAGGCTTCAGCTCTAAGCAACTCAAATGGGTTTTATTTAACATTTCATATCTTCTCTAAATACAGTTAGCAAGTTCTACGTCACTGCCATTGAAACTAGGATGCCTTCCTGATGAAATTTGGTAGAAATAGGACTATTAGTTATTCTTTCCCTTGCTGCCACAGGCACAAAGACTTGTAATAATGTAAGGCATATGTTGCTGTATTTTCCTGACAATTTTTTATTTAAGATAAATATTGACACACTATCATTCATATATATTAAAAGAACTCTCAAGGAGCAGAAATATCATGTTTAAATGTCAGTATTAGGGATCCCTGGGTGGCGCAGCGGTTTGGCGCCTGCCTTTGGCCCAGGGCGCGATCCCGGAGACCCGGGATCGAATCCCACGTCGGGCTCCCGGTGCATGGAGCCTGCTTCTCCCTCTGCCTATGTCTCTGCTTCTCTCTCTCTCTCTCTGTGACTATCATAAATAAATAAATAAATAAATTTAAATGTCAGTATTATTGTTGCTAATGACTACATCCCTTTAAGTAGAGCAAAATATACAATTAGCAATGTGCTTTCATAGCAATAAACTGAAAGTATTAGTTTGATCATTTCTTTTGTATGTCATGGCAACATCCCTGAACCAAGATTGAAGACTGAAAAGAAATAGAATATAGCAGGTATCCAAAGCAAGGAATTGTGGCTTGAGCATAAGCACCTGGCTTGTACATTGAAGAAGCTCCTTTTAATGTTTTTTCATCTGAAATTATCATTTTGCATTATTGTCTTTGCAATTAAAACATGTCCTAAGAAAAAAAGCTATAATGAAACATCTTGTAGAGTTTTAGCTCTTGTCAATTGATGTTCATGGTACTTCCCTTATCTATGGAGCTCTCAGTAGCTTTAACAATTTCAATTTTCATTTTTGCAGACACAACTTCTTCGGGGGAAACGTCACAGAAACATGGAAGATGCTTCAGTGAAATTCTTTGCACTCCTGAATGATAAAACATTTAAAGAACTGACCTTCTGCAAATCCTTTCTACAGTTTGAACTTCAGTCTATCACATCAAAGTATTGTTATAACTTCAATTAAATTATGCAGACCATTTCAAAGCATGAATTTTTTAAAATATGAATTTTAGTTAAGAGGAATGGTTACCTAACTTCAAAATTTGCTTTTCCAAGAAACAATCGAAACACTATACAGTGAAATGCTTTCTATATGCATTTACTAGTTACACTCATGCTGTTGAAGAATAATAACTGAAGACCAACTTGTTTCTGTAAAACTTGGATACAATCTGTTTGCTCATTATTGAGGAACAAGGGAAGACAGTGCTGTATATGTTCTCTTAAATATTTTATTTCTCTCTTATCCTTTGCCTGTGAGCCTCTTGGGTAATAATTGTGAAATTAGGCTTCTCTTCATGTATTCACCTATCAGTCAGGTTCAACCAAATAAAATGTAGCCCCAGTTCCAGAAATAAAAGAAGAAAGATTTATAAACAAGGGGAAAAAACCCAGCAGTAATAAAGCCCATCAATTTTATTCTTCTAAAGAACTGAGAAAATACTTGCAATTCAGAGCACATTAACAGAACTAGGAAGTGAAGGATATCACTCATTTGTCAAGTTTGGAGGTTTCATGTCCCCTAACAACTTTTCTTTTCTCTAAATTACAACTGGTAGTTAATTAAGAGCAGCAGTGGTTAATTGTGAGAACAACCTCACAGGAGTAACAGATGAAATTATGGGAGAAGGCTAAGAATCACTAAGTAGTAAACTACTAAAGCAGTCTGGGGCTCATTAAATATACATAATTTTAGAACAGTATAATAAGTATCTTCTTGATGCTTATTATACTGTGACTCACCTACAAAACTGGTTTCATACACTGTGTCTAACAAGGCGCTGAAAAATATATTGTGTCTAAGAATGATTTCTTTAAAATGATTCAAATTATTTTTCATTGATCTATTAAAGCGTAAAGTGTCATACTCTGGAAAGTTCATTTCTCAACAGTAACTGATGTTACTGCAACTTAGGTACATGAACCCGTTGTGCATTGGGTATGCTTTCAAAACACAAAGATAACTTCTTTCTTGAAGCAGACACAGCATAAGTTAGCAGAAGTTTTTAAAGCCTCTAGAAAACATTGCTTTAAACCCAAGTAATCACTGTCAAACAGATCTGATATATGAGAGGAAGAAAGTTTGGTCAGTAGGACAGAGGTTTATTTTAGCATAAAAGGAAGAATGTTATAAGATGGTATATTCATATTACAAGAGGAAAAATGGATAGTTGTTAATTTGAACTAAAAAATGAATAAATATATCATTCAAAGAATAAAGTGGACTCAAAGAACATAGAAGTGAACATATATACTTAGAATACAGAGTGGGTTTGCATATAGATTCTTAGTTTTGGGAAATCTTTCCAACTGCTGAAAATCTTCACATTTAAGTTTAGAGAATAAACAACAAATTAATGATTCCGTTAAATGTAATAGATGAACTGTAGCAAAGAGAGATGAATTTTGAGAGAACTAACCAATTCTGTTTTCCATAAACTTGCATTAGGAAGTTAGCAGTGGGTAAATATCCTGTAGGACTTGTCATTTGAAAGAATTATTTAAGAAGTTAGAATGTATCTTGCCATCTTTCCCCAACCTTCTGTTGAATTATAGAAATGTGTTCTAGGCCTTGGAAGTTCTTTCCTCCCTTTTTCTCCCATCTGGGTGTTTGTAAGCTTCTAATCCAACGGGGTGCTGCTGCTTCGTGCTTTGACAAAGGTATTACACCTACTTTAGCCTACGATCTTCTTATGGTGAAGATTTAAAGTTGAATTAAACAAATTTATTTCCTATCATCTTTATTTTTTTAATGCAAAGTTATGCGTATGGCCTTCAGTTTAATTAAAGTCAGAGGTCACAATATATGGATTTATACTCTATTCTAATATGTAATGCATTTATCTCATAATATATACACAAGACTTCAAGAACAAAAAGAGAAAAATGTTTTCTCCACCCATAGCTATTTTATTTTCTATTTTAATTTTTACCACTACTTTATACAAAGTAGAAAATAAGTCAGCAGTACACTAGTTTGAAATAAGGCATTCTTTTAACATAGCAGGAAATTAAAACATAATTTCTGTTAAGAATATTATGAATCATCTCATTCATTTGTGAAGCTTCATAGAGCAAATTGTAAATATGGATTTATATCTTCTGGCATCAATTACATAACCTGTTTTTCATGAGGAATGTTCATTCCTGGTTATATCATCTTAAAATTTACTCACACTACAAAAAGTCTAGCAAATTATACCTTTAATCTACAGATAACTTAAAGGAATCAAATTTCTCAAAGCAAACTATTAAAAGGTAATTTGGTGGAATCTTCTAAAAGGAAGAAGTAGCAATAACTTTTTAAAATGACCTTAGCCCTGAATGTTCAGAATGCATATTGTTTAACTATTCCAAAGTTAATAAACATGAGATGATGAACACAGGAGTTTTTGACTTTCTTTATAACAGTATTATGTTTGTGTTTCTAACTAGTATAAATATGTGAGAATAATTAGGCATTATTGAGCAACTAATATTTATGTACATTTGATGGCTCCTAACAAGTATATAAATAACACTATAGATATATTACTCAACTTGATTTGTTTTATGGGTTTTTAAACTTAAACAATATTGTCCATTCTCTCTTACGAGATAGTTTTCTCTTTAAGCACCACAAAATTAATATTATGTAGGTAAGCTGCATTTACCCCATGTGAAATAAGGAACTGTGTGTAGGCTCATCTGGCCATCTATGCTAGTCCTTGATTTTTTTTTAAGTTATTTTTGAGAGAAACAGAGAGGGAGAGAGGCAGAGACACAGGCAGAGGGAGAAGCAGGCTCCATGCAGGGAGCCTGACATGGGACTCGACCCCAGGTCTCCAGGATCACACCCCCCCTCAGGCTGAAGGTGGCACTAAATTGCTGAGCCACCTGGGCTGCCCTATTCTAGTCCTTAATATTCTGTAAAGTTACTTTGATGATGTTTCTGTGCTAGCACAGGTGACAGACAAAATTGAACTCCCTGCCTTGGGTTGATTAAATAAGCTTGTTCAGATGCAATCAAGAGCAGTTTGATGTATAGATGTGAAAAAGAAAAAAGAATCAAGAAAATGCCAAAGAGTCTTGTTTATTTTTTAGCACAATGAGTGTAGTCTCTTAAGACATGCTGAGTCTCAAATATTTCACGATGCTGTGGTGGAGGCAGATATGAGAATTAAGAAACCAAAAGGCAAATAGTTTTGTAAGAAAGTTTTCTTAATATCTATCTCTGAGACATCTAATGTTACTTTCTCCCAGAGCCCAATAAATCATATATTCCTTCTCTCTAGTGACATACTTATTTGGTTGTAGTAGTTTCAGTGACAGTTGTCCAAATGAACAGAAAAGAGATAGTACCTAGCGCAATCATAAGAAAGAGAAAGGACAATTTTTTTCATAAATTGAGACCATAGAGTTTAATTTTCCAAGGTGCTTTTTAAAATATTTTAATTGATAGCTCAACAGCATGGTCATCACCAGACAAGACCATATATAGACATCAAATCTATGGAAAGCATACAATTATAGATAAAACACTGTCAACTTTAGCACTACAAGTCCATTTGATATAGCCCATGCCAGGCAAAAGTGCAACTGACTTGTCATTATTCACAACTTAAACAAGTATGCAATATGCAGAATAAATGCCACCGTTCCTTTATGCTTAAAATAGCTTCAATCTTTAAGCAGTAATAAGTAGACGTATTTCTTTTTTCTAATATTCTTCTCTTTTTGTATCCAGAGAAAAAACTTCAGACACAGTATTTCCAAAAGCAGGCTAAAAAAGAAAATGAAACAAATTCTTTATTAGGAGGATATTTGATGAAGCATTACATTTGAATAAAATAGTTCATGTGTAGCTCAGTATGAGCAAGAGAGTTTGGTAAAAGGATTGCTCAATGTGGTTGTTATGAGCCTCATGTGAATCTATACATTAATTAAAAATAAATAAAATTTAAAAATTCAGCTTCTCCATCACGCTAGCCACATTTAGAGTACTCCGTAGTGACTTGTAACCAGTGAGTACCATAATGGTCACTTCATCACAGAAAGTTCATCTAGATAGCACTGTTATACATAATAATGCACATAATACAGTTCAGAGAATACAGTAGGTTGTCCAATTAGATACACCTCTCTGTTTTATATTTGGGGTGACTGAAATCCCAAAGAGGAAGTCACATGAGTAAGAACTATGATAAATATGGTTCAATTTATGGGGGAGGGAGGGGAAAGGAAGGAAGAGAGTTTAAAGTTCACTTTGCAAATCACCAAATGTTATTTAAGCAATTTGATTGTCACATTGAGTCTTCACATTCGGACCATAAAAATGATGCTTCAGAAAAATCAAACCAATTCTAACAGTACTCTTTGATCTTCAAATGCACAAATGAGTCATTTTAAATCTTCTATAGGTTGTTCCCAATCACCTGACTTATAGTAGCTTCATAGAATTCGGGATAAATTTCTCTGATTCCCGGGATGCCTGGGTGGCTAGTGGTTGAGCATCTGCCTTTGGCTCAGGGCCTGATCCCAGGATCCAGGATTGAGTCTTACATCCAGCTCCCTGCATGGAGCCGTCTTCTCCCTCTGCCTGTGTCTCTGCGTCTCTCTCTTTCTCTGTGCATCTCATGAATAAATAAATCTTAAAAAAAATTTCTCTGATTTCCTTCAGTCTAAGTGGTTTAGAAAATTGAGACCTCAGAGGACAGGTCTTTGATTCACTATTGATGAATGGGACGCACAGTAAAAAAGAGTTAAAAAAGATACTCTTTGAAATACTCTTTGAAATAAATGATAAAAGTCTCTGCTTGCCAGGTTTCCCCTCCCTCTCCATTCACTCTGTAAACCAGTAACCCTCAAGCGCATCACCATCTACACACACAGTGTTATGACAGCGCTCAGAGTATACTTTTCATTTCTACATGAGCCGCAGCTTCCTTTAATGAAACCACATTCAAATCCTATGAAAAGAGTTTATTTTCAGACATTAAACTGAGGAGCTTGGCCCACTAATTCAATCTTCTTTTTATAGTGTGTTTCAGAAAGTTATCACTGGCCTGTCTGGCCCTTTGGATATCATTGAATAACTCTGCCAGGAAGATATAAATGTACACATATCCAAAAATTACTCATGCAGGGCTCGATTAAGTATGCAATGGGAATACAGTTTGGGAAATTTTCTGGACCTGGATGAAAGGAAGTATCATGAATGATATCCCCAGTAGAGCCAAACTCTTCAGTGCTTATCTACCGTTTATCATCTGCATGAGGGAAATCCCTCACTATCATTCTGGTGTTGATGTCTGTCTGGTTCACTCTTGTAACCCTATTTTTAGCAGGATGCTATGCATTGGACAGCCATATATTTATTTATTTTTCATCTCCCCTTCCCAAGTTTCTTCAAATGTGCTGCTTCCATCTTATGTCAGCTTATGAATCCAAAAAGCTAAAGTCATTGAGTGCGACTAAGTAAACCAAAGTGAGAGCTAAGAGACCTTTTCTTCTTCTTCTTTTATTTGCTAAGTTTGACATTACATTTTGTAAATTTAGGTGTGCAGTGTTACTTTGACAAATTTATATATTGTAATATGATTGCCATTGGAGTAGTATAGGTCACATTGCATCATTATAGTACAATATCATTGTCTATATTCATTACACTGTGCATTAGATTTCTATGACTTATTTACTGCTCATTACAAGTTTGTATACTTGAACATCATCAATCTGATCCAAACCCCGTTTGCCTCCACAGCCCTCTGGTTACCACCATTTTACTCTTTTTTCACTGGGTGGACTTTTTTTAGATTCCACATAAAAGGGATATCATAAAGTACTTGTCTTTCTCTGTCTGACTTATAATGTGCTCAAGTTTCATCCATGTCGTTGGAAATGATATTTTCCTTTCTCATAATTGAATAATATTCCAGTTTGTGTGTGTGTGTGTACACACCATTTTTATCCATTCATCTATTGATATGTACCATTTTATCTATTGATATACACCAATTTTATCCACTCGTCTATAGATATATTCCTGGAAGTGGAATTGCTGGATCTTATGGTAAATCTATTTTTTAATTTTTTTGAAGAATTTCCATATTGTTTTCAATAGTGGTTGGACTAATTTACACTCCCACCAATAGTGTGTAAGAGTTCCCTTTCACCACATTCTCGCCATCACTTATTGTCTCTTGCTTTCTTTATGATAGTCATTCTAACAGGTGTGAGGTAACATCTCATCGTGGTTCTGATTTACATTTCCCTGCTGATCAGTGAATCTTGAGCATCTTTTATGTGGCTTTTAGCTATTTTGATATCATTTTTGAAAAAAATCTAGTTCTGGGATCCCTGGGTGGCGCAGCGGTTTGGCGCCTGCCTTTGGCCCAGGGCCCGATCCTAGAGACCTGGGATCGAATCCCGCATCAGGCTCCTGGTGCATGGAGCCTGCTTCTCCCTCTGCCTGTGTCTCTGCCTCTCTCTCTCTCTCTGTGTGTGACTATCATAAATAAATAAAAAATTTAAAAAAAGAAAAAATCTAGTTCTTCTCATTTTAATTAGGTGTTTTTAGAGGTTTTTGTAGTTATTAAGTTGTATTCTTTACATTTTTTGGATATTAATCTCTTATCCAATATATGCTTTCTCAAATTTTCTTCCATTGTATAACATGACATTTCATTTTGTTGTTTCTTTTGCTGTGCAGAAACTGAGTTTGATGTGGTCTCATTTGTTATTTTTTGCTTTTGTTGCTTGTGATTTTGGTGTCACGTCCAAAGTCACTCCCAAGACCAGTATTGATAGCTACTCTATATTTTCTTCAAAGAGTTTTATGTTATCAAGCTTATGTTTAAGTTTTCTCTTTATTCCAAATGAATTTTTGTGAGGTATGAGGCATTGCGTCCAATTTAATTGTTCTGCATGTGTTTCTACAATTTTCCCAGCATTATTTGCTGAAGAAATCATCCTTCCTCCATTGGATGTTCTTGGCTCTCTTGTTGAATATTAGTTGACTCTATATGCCAAGATTTAATCCTGGGCTTTCTGTTCTGTTTCATTAGTCTACATATCTATTTTTGTGCCAGTAACATACAGTTTTTTTTTATTACTATGGCTTTGCAGTATAGTTTGAAATCAGATTTTGTTCTTTTATCCTCAGGACATCTTTGGCTGTTTGGGGTCATTTGTGGTGCCACATAAATTTTAGGATTATTTCTTCTATTTCTGTGAAGTATCCTTCTTTATTTTGGTGAGGATTGCATGAATCTGTAGGTGGCTTTGGAGAATATAGCCATTCTAACAATATTTATTATTCCAATCCATAAACACAGATTTATTTCCTTTGTGTCTTCTTCATTTTCTTTCAGCAAAGTCTTAGAGTTTTCATTGTGCAGATCTCTCACTTCCGCGGTTAAGTTCTCTCCTAAGTAAACGGGCAGAGGACCTGAATAAACATTTTTCCAAAGAAGCCATACAAATGGTCAAAAGACCATGAAAAATTCTCAACATCACTAATTATCATAGAAGTGCAAATAAAAAACGCAATGAGGTATCACCTCATACGTGTCAGAGTGGCTGTTGTCAAAATAAACAAATACCAACTGTTGGTAAAAATGTGGAGAAAAGGGAACCCTCATGAACTGTTGGTGGGAATGAAAAATGGTGTAGCCATGATGGAAAACAGTCTAGATGTTCCTCAAAATTAAAAATAGAATTACCATATGATAGAGCAATTCTACTACTGGGTATTTAATTGAAGAAAATGAAAGTGGTAATTTGAAAAGATACACGCATCCTTCTGTTGTTGTAGCATTATTTACAATAGCCAAGGTGTAGAAGCAACCTAAGTGTCCATCAATAGACGGATAAGGAAGACATTACATACACACACACACACACACACACACACTAGAATATTCATTAAAAAGGGAAATTTTTGCCATTTGTGATGTAGATGGACCTAGAGGTATTATGCTAAATAAGCCAAACAAAGACCATATGATTTCACTTATATGTAGAATCTAAAAAACAAAACAAAACAAAACAAAACAAATGAACAAACAAAACAAAACAGAAATAGACTCTTAGATACAGAGGATAATCTGGCAGTTGCCAGAGGGGAGGGAGTGAAATAAAGGAAGAGGAATAAGAGGTACAAACTTCCAGTTATAAAATAAATAAGCCATGGGAACACAGTGTACAGCGTAGGAAATATAGTTAATAATATTTAAAAGCTTTATAGGGTAGCTAGATTCATCTTAGTGATCACTTCCTAATATTGTATCATTATGCTATACACTTGAAACTAAAATAATCTTGCAGATCAACTACAATTTAATTAAAAAAGTATTACTAAGTGTTTTATTGTTTTTGATGCTATCATGACTGGAATTTTTTTTTCCCAATGCTTCATCATTAGTATTAAAAAATGCCACAAATTTCTGTAAATTGATTTTGTAATCTGCCATTTTACTGAAATCATTAATTTCAGCAGTTTTTTGATCAAATTTTTGGGATTTTGTATATATAAGATCATGTCATCAGCGATTAGTGACAGTTTTACTTCTTCCTTCCTTCCTTGACTTTTATTTGTCTTTCTTAATTATTCAAGATAGGACTTCAGTACTATATTGAATGGAAGTGGTGAAAGTGGGTGACCTTTTCTTGTTCCCAAACTCAGAGAAATCCCTTTCAATTTTTCTCCATTGAATATGACATTAGCTGTGGGTTTGTAACATATGACCTTTATTATGTTGAGTTGTGATACTTTGATACCCAATATATTAAGGGTTTTTATTATGAAAGATATATTTTATCACATTAGACAGCAACATTCTTAATGAATTTAGTAGGCATCTATCAACGATATATTAAATGATTAAAGCAAAGTATAAGATTCCCCAGTAAGTATAAGTTATTCATGCATTAGCTGGATCTCTGGGTCCATTTTGCTTTCATACAATGTTATTTATACCAGACAACTTCTAGTTACATAATGGAATCACACTTAAAATAAAATGTAGGCTGTTTTTGCGACTTAACCTAGGCATTCAGTTCATATCTTTTATCACCACAAATATTTACTTTATTCCTACTACATACAAATATGTTTTAATATCTCCTTGCTAAAACACAAAGAAGTTTCTTTGACATGCCCTCAAACTTCTCTAGCTGATATCCCAATTTCTTCTACTCTTTAGAATGAAATTTCTCAAAAGTAGTGTCTATTGTCAGTGGTTCCTGACAAATGATAAAAATATTATTTTATCATGTTCTCTTTAACAAAAAGTCCACCAAGAAATTCACATCGAATCCATTAATAATCTTTCATTGCTGTTCAGAAAGAAAGTTGCAGTTATCAACTTACTGGACTTATTAAAACTTTAAATACAGTTTCACTACTTCCTGGAAACAGTGCAGCCTTCCTTTGTCACTTCTTTCCTTGGTAGCTACTCTTATCAAGAGTTCCTTTCCTGATTCTCTCATCTGCCCAATTTCTAACTTTGGAATCACCCTGGATTCAGTTCTGGCTGTCTTCTCTTGTATATCTAGAGTCATTCCTTAGGCGTCTGATCACAATACCAAGCAAAATTCATATGCTGATAACTGTCAAAGTTTTATCTCCAATACGAGCTGCTTCCCTAAACTTCAAATTTATATATTCAATGGTCTATTCAGATCATTAGAAAAGTCTCCCCTTATCTGTGGGGATTATGTGCCAAGACCCCTCCCTAATGGATGCCTTAAACTATAGATTGTACTGAATGCTATAAATACTATGTTTTTTCCTATACACACATTAATATGAAAAAGTTTAGTTTATAAATTGGGCACAGTAAGAGATTAACAACAAAAACCAATAATAAACTAGAACAATTGTTCTAGTTACAATTGTAACAATTGTAACAATACACTGCAATAAAAGTTACCTGAATGTGGCCTCTGTCCCTCAAAATATCTTATTATACTATAGTCAACCTTCTTCTGGTGATGATGTGCGATGACAAAATGTCTATGTGATGACATGAAGCAAAGTGAATGACATAGGTACTATGATGTAGCACTAGGCTACTATGGACCAGAATTCTGATATGTGAGGAGGATCATTTGGTTCTAGATCATGGTTGGCCACAGGTAACTGAAACTGCAAAATGTGCATAAGGAGGCCTATTATACTGGGAAGATATTGTTATGCATGGCTGTAGTAGGGATATGACTCTCCAAATATTCTTGGTTTTTTTTTTTTTTTTTTTTTTTTTTTTTACATTTTCTAGGTGTTGCCATGACCCTGTTAAGTTAGATTATGATCATGTGCCTCATTTGGACAATTAAGAGTGTGTTTATCTCCAATTCTCTCCTGTTCTACTACAGGGACACATAGAATAGGTACAGAGTAAAGGAAGATAATCAACATACACAAGGTTTCATGTAAACAACAAATAAATCTTAAAGCAATTTATATCACTGAGATTATGAGGTTATTTTCCTAATGTAGTTTGCCTTATTTACCCCCCAAATACTATCTGACAACAAATAAAAAGGGAATAAAGGGAGTCAAGAAATACAAGATCTCAAAATGTTGAAAGAACTGACTTCTTCTAGATCTCAAACACTATAAAATAAGATTTGAAACTACTCCAAGTGACAGAGGCTCTGTAAATAGAACTCAGGGCAAAAATCAAATTGAGTGTATAGTCTTTAAGGTATGTTTCAGATATTTTCCAGGCAACTGCTACCAAGTTGGGGTGAGAATGCAGAAAAATTAAAACTGTCATTATTTATTTATTTATTTATTTATTTATTTATTTATTTATTTAGATTTTTTTAATTTATTCGTGACAGACACACACAGAGAGAGGCAAAGACACAGGCAGTGGGAGAAGCAGACTCTGTGCAGAAGCCTGACATGGGACTCGATCCCGGGACTCCAGGATCACACCCTGGCCTGAAGGCAGGAGCTAAACCACTGAGCTACCCAGGGATCCCCTAAAACCGTTTTTTAAAAAGTATTTGCATATAGCAAGTACATGAGAAGTTTTCTAAATTTTTGAAAGAATATCATTGCCAAATAAACCATAAATCCTAAAACAAAAATACCTTTGACACTTTAAGACAAAATAAATCTTGGGCCTCCAACTTTGTAAAAGCAGGATGAAACCTGAGAAAACTATGTCATCCTGGAGAAGAGAATAATCCCAAAGTAGCACATAAGATGTGTCCAGGAATAAAAATGAAAAAGCAAAAATCTCAAACAGTACAGCCATTGGAAACATTACAATGGGCAAATGACTCCTCCTAGATACCACAGAATCCAGTCAAGACACTTTTTCCCAACCGGAGGGTAGAGGACCTTTATAATATTTGCCCAGCGGGATTTCAGAATTACAGGAGGATAGTATTCTTTGTGTCTCTTGTTTGTTTCCTTTATGAATGGGATTATCGATTGTGCTTATCTCATTCTTGTTCCTCTTCCAATTACTGGATTTGTCCTTTTAGCCAACAGGTCGATAAATGAAGAAGCTACACTGTAGCTGATGAAGACAGTAAGTATCTCCTCCGGGAAAGCCTATTCTTTGTTCTGGGTTCAGTCAGTGAAAGAAATCTGGAATTGTCTCTAATGGGAATGAGTTGAGTAGAGTCTATGTGGTTAAGGAGAGATCAAAGGATAGACTGTGGTAGAGGCAGTACTCCCCAACTATTATATGTACTTCCTAAAATCTCTCAACCTGTCTTGCCAGTATTTTGGGGCCAGCCCACTTGACTAATTCTAGCCAATGGACTTCAGGAGAAGTGACACCTATCATTGAACTGAGTTCTGAATTGAGGCAGTTTAGAGCTGGGATGTGTCCTCTATCCCTTTCCTGTGTCTTGGCAATATTAGGGACAGTAATGATATAACAACATTCTAGATGATATAGCCAGAAAATAGAAGAGGATTGTATTACATGCATTGAACTTGATTATTAATAGGCCTCTGAGATTTGGATTAAAACTGGTACCACATTATAGCCTAAGTTATGTTAAATATAGGAAGGCCCAATAAATCTCTATCCCAACACTTCTATACCATCAAACCTTTTCTTCTTCCAGCTATCTCTTGCTCAATAAATAGAAATCACCCTCTTTTACTTAGTTGCTCAAAATAAAAACTTAGAAGTCATTTATGATGCCTTCCTTTTTTTGAAAAGAAAATACTCAAACCACAGGTGATCCTACTATAAATTTCGTTAATTTTTTTATTCAAATATATCCAGAATCAGGCTCCTTCTTATCAATTCACTACTGCCACCCTAATCCAAGCTACTACCACGTTATCATCTGAAACACTAAATTCTCTTCCTTAATGGCTTCTCTGCTTCTACCTTTCCCCATCTTTTTCAGTGTATTCTCCATGAGGAGCAGTTCTGTTAAAGCTTATCTCATTATTCTCTTGTTCAAAGTTTCTAATGATGTCCCAGTAAAAGCTAAGGTCCTTAAAACTCCTGACAGTTCCCTCCCTGACAGCTTCCAATTCATCTTCTATCACTCTCTCTTTTCTGGCTCACTAGCTGAGTCACTTAGCAATTGGGTTATTGTTGGCATATAATTTTACCTCTCTGAGATGTAATTTCCTCATCTATAAAATAAGCATAGTAATGGATATCTTATGGTGTTTATGATGAAAATAAAATAATAATTATAGTATTGATCAAAACCATAAAAAACAAGTTAAGCTTACATAGTATTTACTATATGCCAGGCATTATTCTAAATGCCTTTCATATATTTACTCATCCCCGACAATCTCATAAAGATAATTATTATTATAATTTGCATTTGGGGGCAAAGAAAATGTATAGGAAGTTACATAATTGCTCAAGGTTACCAGGTAGGAAATGTCACATTGATTTTAACCCAAGCAGTTTGGCTCTAGAGCCTATGTATTTAACCACAATATTTTGACATATTAAAATATAAAATGTCTGGTATATGCTAAGTGTTTAAATAATACCAGTGCATCCTCTTCCCACTTAGTAGCATTGTGAATCTTAGGAAGGCTCACATCACTATTACAATAGAGGAATATACATATAATTTTTCAAATATAATAACTAATTCAGCAAGAAACAATAATTTCCCAAGAAATGTTATAAAAAATAAGACAGTCCAAAAGGTAAATCTTTCTAAAATTAACTGTGATGATTCAAACCTTAAACCATGTGTTAGAGCACTGAGGTTTCTCCTTACTTCAATAAAGATGTTCTAAAATTTGAATTGACTTAAAACTGGGTTGTTTCTATTTGTGATTCTCCCAACTTCAGTCTCTAAGCAAAATAGCAAGCATAGGTCACAATTTTAAACAATAAGACCCTATTTTACTTAAACCTGGGACATATGACTTTGCTACCTACTGTGGTAAACACAACATAGCTCAGATACATTCATAGGGGAACATTTTCATTGGCCTCTTTCTTAAAAATTAACTTGGATTTTGGTATTCACCATAGGATTAAGAAATGTCAAGTTAATCTCTTCTCTCTCAGTAATCATTGCAAAACATAATCTTTTAGATATCAATTTTAAAACTTTGAAATGAAAATTTACCTCGCTTATTTGGATGGGAAGAATATAGACCATCTATAGCATAGGATATCTCAGCATCTTTTGCCTCTGTGAACTGCTCTTTTAGGTTTTCCAACTGTTAAAAGTCAAATATAAAAATTATTGATCTTTCATAAGAATGATGCTGCTTTCTACTGAAGAAGAATTAGAGTAAGACAGGAAAAAAGAGTAGGAAAAATGGAAGAAAGAAGAGAAAAAGAAATAGAAAAGGAGAAAAACTATAAAAAAGTAAATAAAAAGAATTAAATAGAAAAATACAAGGAAACTTAGAGACTAGCTGGAAAAGGTACATGACTCAACAGGAGATCAGGAAAAAACAAGTTTATGATGAAGGAAGTCAACTCTAGGTGTTAATGGGGAGCCTGTAAACACAGACTGTGTTGCTGGACTAGATTTTATGTCACCTATAACGAGCAGTCCTTTTCAAGGAGCTCCAAAGAGTTATGTAAATGTTTGAATTTCCTGAAATATTTCTCCTTTCCAGCAGAAAGAGAGAAGTATTTTGAGGCCCTTGAGGTTTTACCCAGGATTCAACCCATGTTAATTTTTAGCAATCTCTCTGATTGCCCATGCCCTGAAGACTTAACCCTTCAACCTGGCTACTGAGGGTGTCCAACCTGCTCAGAACGATGGGGCATAATTCACTCTCCCAAACAGCCACATGGTTTGTATACTATTGGATTTGCATGTGTGTTTGTGGAAAAAGTTTTGAAATAATCTAACTTGGTGTTCTTCACATTTTTTCCCCACATGTCAAGCAGTGGGGGAAGAAAGCTGCTAACTGGCCCCCTATCAGGGCAGCTGAGAGCAGCCTCAGGCCCCCAACCAGCTGCTTTAAGCAGGACAGCTCCACCTGCATATGCTTCATTGACTAGGAACACATCCAATTTATTTGGGAAAAATGTATTCCCACTTTAAAAAATAATAATAAATTTTGAAAATCATGAATCTAGGTATAGTCTTCCATTTTATAGATGAGGAGATTTAGATCCAGAGAATTTCAATTTGTCCATGGTCTTATAGTTAGGTAATTGGAGAGCTGATGAGAATCCAGAGTTTCTACACGTTTCATCTCAAGATCACTTCAGCTATAGTTTTGTTTTGGTTTTCTTTTCTATAAATGAAATTTGACTATTTTTCCCCTACTTTACTCTGTCTCTAGCAGGAATAAAAAAAATTTACACTATAGTACTAAAAATTTTTCAAAATGTGTCCAAAGAAAATGCCTTGTAATTATCATTAAAATTGAAATGTAAGTATTTCACATTCTCACCTGGTTAAGTTCTTCCAGTTTGTTTGCCAGTTCTATTCCTGCAAGATACATTTTTCATATAAAAAATTTCATTGCAAGTAGTATTTCACTCACTTCAGAACACACATTCAGGATCTTATGTGGAAGGCAAAGGTCTTTTCCATATGATTTAAGACCACCCATCATCCCTAAATAAAGCCCAAATATTTTCTCAATACCTGTAATATTGAATTGCAACCAGTTATGTAATGAGAAAATACTTAATTTCTAGTAACCAACACAAAGCTTTCTAAAATAGACCATAGCTCTAACAAGTACTATTATTTAGTTCTAATAAATACTATTATTTAGAAATAAACTATTTTATTGCCATGAGGAAATCTTATAAAACAATATTAAGTGAAAAAAGCAAGACACAAACATCTATATAATTCAACTGGGAAATAACCTAAAATATTAATAATAACTCCCTCCCTTACAATGAGCACACATTTTTTTATAATTTCATTCATTTTCTTCAATGAGAATATCTTACTTCTAATTTTAAAACTTTGTATTTTTGAAGTGTTTATTAAGATAGTGTAGTCAGTACATTGTCCCATGAATAGACATTTTCTTTAGGCCAGATTTTTTCTGAGTGTACCACACTGACATATTATCACATTTTTTCTGAAGCTAGACTTACTGTTTCTGGCAGTATTTGTCATTTCTTGGAAAGCATTCTGATGCACAATTATAAATTAGATTCGGCTGTTCTTCAAAGAAAAAAAAAATCTCCATTGCGGTAGCCTAAATTTCCCACTGTTCTTTACTCCAACCATTTTCCAGATTGAGAGAATTTGATTGCAAAATGTGCTATAAGACTGCAGTTAATTTGTGAAATTTCTAGTGGAAACCTATGAACAGATGTGAAGTATTTAGTAAAAGAAAATATTAACTATGCCATTGAGGAGCTGCACAGCTGAGAGGAAAATATGAGTAAAGGTAACTATTTTGTAACAAGATGGTTATTGATCCCACTAGGACTCTCTAATTGAAGAAGATAGGATTTTAATATTTGTTAATAATGTCATTGCTTTTAGCATGGATATGAAGTAATAAAAACACTTAAGCCATCAGTGCGGCATAAAATGGAGTAGTTACTATTTTATTTAATATACATTAACATTTAGAAAGAGCAGTTCAGAAGACAGAATAAATTCTTGACTCACCAACGTTGGAAGGTCTTTGGAAATCAAAATTTTTATTCAGTAGATCCAGCAATAGTTCCTTGCTATTTGTATCTTCTTTTGCTGGAAACAATTCATTTCCTGCAATAATCACCTCAATGTAATGACCTCCAATTTCAATCTGTCACTGAAAGTATTTCTAATTAAATACATTTTACAGGTAACTATCAATGCGTATACTCACCAATAAAAGGGGTGTGGAGAAAGTTGTGTAATCCAAAAAAATGGGCTGATAAATAAATCGTTGCATGCATAGGAGCACTCAAAGAGAGATTGTGAGAGGAAAGGTGGAGACGTATGTCTGAAAGATGACACCCTAAAATTTACCTGCCATCATTTCTAGGTAGTAGAATTGCAGGTAGATTTATTGTTTTTTATCTGTATTACTGAAATTTTCTACTCTTGTGCTTAATATAAAAAATATAAATCAAAAGTCTTATTTTTAAAGAAAAAATATTACTCAGCCATTAGAAACGACAAATACCCACCATTTGCTTCAACGTGGATGGAACTGGAGGGTATTATGCTGAGTGAAGTAAGTCAATCGGAGAAGGACAAACAGTGTATGTTCTCATTCATTTGGGGAATATGAATAATAGTGAAGGGGAATATAAGGGAAGGGAGAAGAAATGTGTGGGAGATATCAGAAAGGGACACAGAACATAAAGACTTCTAACTCTGGGAAAAGAACTAGGGGTGGTGGAAGGGGAGGAGGGCGGGAGGTGGGGGTGAATGGGTGACGGGCACGGAGGGGGACACTTGACGGGATGAGCACTGGGTGTTATTCTGTATGTTGGTAAATTGAACACCAATAAAAATTAATTTATAAAAAAAAAGAAAAAATAATTTATTTTAAGATTTTATTTGCTGTACAAATTTAAATATGAGCCTTTTTGTGTTCTTGAGATTACCTTTAAACCATCTAAGGAAACCTTGCAGGAGAGGTGGTATGATGTCTACTTTCTCCCTATTTTTAAAAAAATATTTTATTTATTTATTCCCAAGAGACAGAGAGAGAGAGAAAGAGAGAGAGAGAGAGGCAGAGACAGAGGCAGAAGGAGAAGTAGGTTCCCTGCAGGGAGCCTGATGTGGCACTCCATTCCAGGACTCGAGGATCATGACCTGAACCAAAGGCAGTTGGTCAACCACTGAGCCACCCAGGCATCTCTACTTCCTGTCTATTGACATCTTTCCACCTTTGTCAATTTACTTCCCAGCCCCTTCTTTGATCAGATGCTCAACTTTTTCAGCACTTTAAAAACAGAAATATCACCCAAATTTTTGTAAACATTTTATTCTGGAGTAGAAATCAGGACAAAATGGCCTTTACTCAAGCCATAAAACATGAAGACTCAATAAACTATCAACAAATAATGCAATTGAAACAACAGCTAGTGTATTACAAACGAAATGAACTTTTGTGAGGTGGCCTGCAAGATCAAACCTTTATCACAGAACTTCTGTAGATCATTCACCCCATTTCCTAGTTTCTCATAGTCACTGACAGTGTGAGCAGAAACTAGATTTGTGAGTTTGAAGTTTATTTTTTTATTTATTTTATTTTTTATTTATTGTTATTATTTTTATTTTTTATTTTTTATTTTTTTGCGAGTTTGAAGTTTAGAAGTGCAAAAACTGTGGTTTTAGGTACAGAAATGGCACATGATTTGAATATAAAATTCCATTAAATCATCTGCCTTTCCTGTATCTACAGAATGTTAATTGATGAATCCAGAGGACTAAGAGGCTAATGAAAGGAATGAGAAAGCCTTGGTGAGGAAGCAAATGGATGACTTGGGGCAAGTGACAGTATTGTATCTACACTGACCATAGTTCATTGATGTTTAGTCTTCAATTTCTTTACTTCATAAACATAGAAATTATCTGTGATGGTTTTTTTCTATTGATCAATTAAAACACTAATAAAATATTAATGTGACTTTTATTTAACATCAATTATACGAAGACCTTCAGAAATCATTTAAAGATGTGGCCATGCAATAACATAATTGTTATTACAGTTGTTTATGAAAATGTTAAATGATACACCTTATAATGTTTGTTTGAAACAGAAATAACATACATGTGACAGCCAGATGATAATAGTTAACTTGTTTCAGAAAGAGAACTGTATAAGAAAAATTGATTCATTACCTTCAACTTAGAGAATGTATAAGATGAGAAGGAAGTAATGAGGAAAGCTTAGAGCTGAAGTTTTTATGTTTCATTCACAATCCTCTTCTGCATGTTTAAGTGGGACATTTTTCACAAAAGAAAATTGATCTATTTTCCTTTCTTGACCAGTTTGTTTTCTAGTAACTACGTTTGCCTAACTGTCCTCAGAACGTCTTGTCACTGTCACTACCTTTTAAGGCAACCATCATTTACAGGAATCTCGGAAGAAATATTTTCTCAAAATTTTTTTTTTTTTTAATTCCTAAAGTTAATATATTCTCTAAGAAATATAATAGAAAATAAGTCTTTTTTTCTTGATTTCATATTTAGTTTTAAAACAGATTCATGGGCAGCCCAGGTGGCTCAGCGGTTTTAGCACCGCCTTCAGCCCAGGGCATGATCCTTGGGTCCTGGAATCGAATCCCACACTGGGCTCCCTACATGGAGCCTGCTTCTCCCTCTGCCCGTGTCTCTGTCTCTCTGTCTCTTTCTGTGTCTCTCATGAATAAATAAATAAATAAAATCTTAAAAATAAATAAAACTGATACAGCCTTAAAAAATTGCACTATTCAGACTGTTTCTGCCTTTGAACTAAAAGTTAATATTGATAAAGGAAACGTTTGAATAAATACCTGAGTGTCGATGCACCCTTAGCACAAAGGATGGCAAAGTGACCCAGATGTGATGGAGTGAATGCTTTTACAAACACACAGATAATACGTGTTCATTTTTTTTAAAAGATTTTATTTATTCACGAGAGACACAGAAAGAAAAGTGAGGCAGAGACACAGGCAGAGGAAGAAGCAGGATCCATGCAGGAAGCCCGATGTGGGACTCGATCCCAGGACTCTGGGATCACGCCCTGGGCCGAAGGCAGACTCGCTTAACCCCTGAGCCACCAGGCATACCAATAATACTGATTCATTACTACGTAAGATACTGGATCAAGGGTTTGCTGTCTCCTTTCTTTACGTTCAAATGTTGAAGCTTTTTAGTTGAGACAGAGGAGAAATTTTACCAGAAAGAAATCTGAAAACCCCCAAAATGATAAAATACCAAAATTTAATAAATTATATATATAGTATTCTGGGTCATGATATTCATTCTTTAGTCTTTTGTATTAGGCAGTATGCTCAGTGTCAGGTTTACCCATCAAGCCGTGCTTTTCTATAGTCCCAACAAAACAAAAGCTGGCAGACTGTGCCATTTGTCTGAAATACTAACACAGAAAGAGCAAGGGATGGTAACCCCAACTTTGTACCCTGTCAGCAGACAAATGCTTATTTGAGAAATGTGTTAAAAGATTACAATAAGTCAAATATTTGGCTGCTTTGACAAATGTGTGTATGGACAGAGGCTCACTCTAATCATAGACAATTTAGATAAGAAAGTGACCTTACTAGTTTTAATCTTTTCCATTTACATACAATGCAACAGATCCAAGGGAGTCCCAGAGAGAAAACTTTCCAATATACTGCCAGTGATATAAGCACATCAATGTGTGGTATTCTAGGGTCAGAGGTGTTATTTAATTTTAATCGAGAAAAATGCTTTAGGGTTGGATTTTTCTATATTCCACATCCACGTGAAATCAGAAGTTATATTTACCACTAACTAACATCCTGACCTTTTTGCAAAGCTCCCAGTGAATGGTGTCATTTTTCCTCACATGTCTAAAGAGTGGTAAGAATATTGAAAATCTCATTATTTCACAAGACCAGTGGAGGCCCACGAAGTGCAATGATTTTGACCAGCCAAACACAAAATGAAAGCCATGGATAAAATCCAAAGTTTTTTATTCCCAAGCTTCTATTTATGTCTCTGAGATAATTTGTTTTTTCAATGGGAAAATCCCTATAAATAAATAACAAGGATTTATGCTTTTTCATTTTCACTGCCAAAAGAACTGTTCTTTCACTGACTTTTAAAACCACACTTGAGACAACATGATCTAGTAAAATTGAATTCAGTCCAAAAGGGAGAAACTTAGTCCTCTTCTTAAGCCAATATCATGTAAACCAAATGTATTATGTTCTTTTTTTAATTTTTATTTTATTTATTTTTTGTTTTTTGTCCTTTGATTCCCTTATGTAAGACAAAAGCTAAAGACTCCTTCCTATCAGGGAGGTCAGTTAGATGATGGTAACCTGAAGCTAGAAGGGAAAATAGCACATTTTAAGTTACTATTTTTCAAACATAAAGAAATATACAAAAGTTTCAATGATATTGCTCACCTAATAAACCAAGATTAAATTTATCTCTACTGATTCTCAGATGAAGAGTTATTTACACAACAAAATGAAATGAAGACTTTAAAGAAAGATTAACAGAAGTTACAATATTATAAGAGCAGATATTTATTTTCTCCAACTTTATGTATAGTAAATATTTGTAGATGTCATAGATTAAATTATTTCATTTAACATAAGTACTAATATGTTAGAAATCTGATAAATACAGTCAATACCTAATGTGGGTGCTAGCATTGTCCTCCTTGAAAATACTATGTAGATTTCCCCTTGCATTATTATTTCCCAATCTCTGCAAATACAAATTTCCATCTTAATTTGTTCTTTTCAGAGCCATTCTCCTCTCATAAATAACGTATTTATAATCTCATTGGATAAAAATATTACTTTTCTTTCCCCAAATGTACTTCAAAATATGCACATATTAGTATTTATACACTCACCACCTATGGTCATAGAGTAGAAGTAAGAAAAAGGTTCCCCATGGTTAGAAAAAAAATAATAAAGTGCAGTTAAAATACATTTAGTACAAATTGATTAAAATTAATTTACTTGAGAAGAATAGCATCATAGATTATAATTTAAAACAGCAACTTCTGAAGGGATGTTTGATGATTACATAATACCAGTGCCTTAGGGCATTATTTCAATAATAGCAGAAAAATCAAGGCAATGCAAACAGGAGAATAAGGATTATTCACCCATCTGTAGGATTTTAGATTCACATGTACATACCTTGGGTAAGATATGGCCGTCCATGCACCATTTCCAAAAAAATCATTACAGATAACAAAGTTAGGAATCCAAAGCAAAGGGTGGTTGAAAGAATCTTGTTCATGTTAAAAATCTGTGCTAGCAGAGAAACTGACTATCCAGGTCAAGATGAATACTTCAGTGGCTCTGGAATGCTGCAGAGATCACTTTTAAAAGGTGGCAAGTGTGCTTCAACTACAAATGATCTGAACAAAGAAAAAAAACTTATAAAATGTAATGCATTCTGTCAACATGATTCACTACTTGGAGAAGTGACAGGTTTGCTACTCAGTCAATGACAGGAAGAACTCAATCGATATATCTCATACCTGCCCATTTCGCTAAAAGCAGACATTCCTATGCATGCCCACGCACTCAGACACATGCACAAGCATAGTGCAAAAACTGGCAATGTCGAACCTATTGGTTGGATTTTCAGAACAATTAAATGGGAACAATGCCTTTCATTTGACTAATTTAGAGCCCCGCGGAGGTCTTCCCATGTTATTTGTAGCCACCACTTCATTTTTAACCAACCAATAGATTTGAGTTGGGAAAGAGCTCAAATTGGAAATGAATCATAATGGGAACATTAATGTCTTACTGCATTGAAGAAGGATGGTTTCATTTTGCTGCAACCAGCACTTCTAGAGATTAAAGCTAAATCTAATTAATTCAAAGTTGGCAAATGTCCCGTCAATTACACTCTTTAATACTTGCTTTAATTGTAATGGTTTTCTTTTTAAGTCAAAGTCTTCCAGTATATCCACAATTCCAATTTTATGGCTCCAAGGATGTGCTAATGACCTCTGGCCTTGGCATTTACTTCTTCGATCAGGAGAACTCTGGATGCATTAGCTCTAAAGTGACTCAGTTTCCTCTGCATAAACGGCAGCATGGGATGATATGAAAAAAATGCAATGACCCAACTTTTCATGAACCCATTGCTTTAATAAATTCCCTGGATAAACTCTAAACTACTTAGTTTGATATTCAGTCTTGTGTTTCCTTCACAGGCTCATTTCCACTACGTGGCCTTCTGCACCACTCATAGTAGGCTTTCAATTGATGAACATATCTTGCACTTCCTTACTTCAGAGCATCACTTCTGTCTACCTGGACTCCATTCCATCACCATTTCACCTACTCATTCCTTAAACCCCTGGGAAATGACACTAGCTCTGTTTAGTCTTCTGGATCTCTCTCTTTTGCTTTCAGACATAACTTTTTTTTTTTTTTTACCTCATTTGGATTACCACAAAACTGCTTAGATATCTATCATCACCCCAAATCCATTCTTCCTTCCATTACAGTTCCATGTTTTGTGTGTCTGCTTCCACTATTAAATTGTGAGTACTTTGAGATCAGTTCTTGTCGTGGACATTTCTGTCCTGATTTGCAAATTTTGGAGCATTACAAAGGAAAAATAAAAAACATATTTGATTTGTGAATAAGCAGTAACTGAAATTTTTGGTAATTTAAAGACAAAATTGGATAATGCTCTTAAATTTTACATGTAGGTATCAAGCTAGATGAATGGAAAGAATAATTGTACCTCCTTAAGTGCCTATTTTCTCTTGGGCCTTAAAATTCAAGAACAATGTCTTTGCAACTTGATCCTTAAAGTTGTTTTTTTTTTTTTGAAGATTTTTATTTGTTTATTCATGAGACACACACACACACACAGAGGCAGAGACACAGGCAGACGGAGAAGCAGGCTCCATGCAGGGAGCCCAATGTGGGACTCGATCCTGGGTCTCCAGGATCACTCCCTGGGCTGAAGGCAGGCGCTAAACCACTGAGCCACCCAGGCTGCCCTGATCCTTAAAGTTTATCATACCATAGTGTTTCAAAACCTTTCATCATTCAAACATACCTAGATACCATCTATCATTACTTATTTAATACTTTATCTGAACTAGGTTTTTAAGCTCTATTTTTAAAAATATATCAATATGGAAAATGAGAAATAAATATTACTTAATGGACAAATAATATACAACTATTATGAAAAATAGTATAGTTGCAAGTAATTATTAAAGAAAAAAGTAAAAACAAAATATAAAGTGCATCTATAATAAATCTGATCAATCATATATAAAATATAATAATAATAAATCTAATAATTGAAAATAAAGACCTGGCAATAAATAACAAATGAAATGCAAGTTAAATATGAATCAGAATTAAAGACATGTTCAGTTTATGGTTACTTAATTAAAAAATACTGAATATAAATAAAATTATTTGGATTTTTAAAAATTTTGTTGTTGAATAGCAGCACAAGGAACCCCAATTCCCATGGAGTTTGCCTTCTTAAAAAAAAAAAGGTAGCTTAATTAAATTGCCTTCTCTAATAAAGTTGGATACTGATGACTCGTTTCCTTTTTTTTTTTTCTTTTTTACTGGCTGAAAGAGAACTTTTTACTACTATTCTGTACAGAAAATTCAACAGCATCCACTCAGTCCAGTTTGGTGGCCAGTTCTTTAGCCTTTGTCTTTTCCAACTTGGCAGCATGGGCCACCCCAGTGAGGGCAGTCCTCATCATATCTGTCATTGTAATTGGTCCTGATGGCTTCCACCAGCTTAGCCAGACCTCCTCTGTCTTCCAAGTTAACCTGTGTGAAGATGACAGTGGTGCAGGTCTTCCTGTTGACCTAAGGCCCCAGCCTGGCCTTCCCCTTGATAATGCAATGGGGACCCCCATCTCACGACATGGGGCAGGCAGGAAGACAATCAGCTCAATGGAACCCACATCATGTACAATCACTACCAGTTGAGGCTTCTTCTTCCTTTCCACCAAGGTGGTGACAGAATTAACCCCAGCTCTAAGGACAGGAGGTGTCTTAGTGGGGACATCCCATTTGCCAGCAACTTTCTTCTCAGCCCAGGCCACAGTTTCTTCTTCTTCTCTTGCTTTGTCTCTGGTCCATGTCTGTGGGCCAGCTTAGGCAGTTGAGTAGCTGTTTGGCGTTCCATGGTCTGGGTGAACTGGTTCATCACGAGAAACACTTTTAGATGTTTATAAAGAATAGCCTTTTGCCGCTGCTGCTGAATGTTGCGGAGCCATTTTCAAAAAGGTTGAAGTCTCTTTTGGACTGAATGTCCTGTCTGATGCCAAAATTCTTGGGCATTTTCTCAGACAGGAGATTGACCATCTTCTTGGCTTTGGGCTTCTTCAGAACAGCAGGGGCTAGGACCACCTTCCCCTTAGCCCTCTTTCCTTTCAGAGTATTGGATGGCTACAGGAGAGAGCTCTGATGACTCATTTTTTTTAATTTTATTTATTTATGATAGTCACAAAGAGAGAGAGAGGCAGAGACATAGGCTGAGGGAGAAGCAGGCTCCATGCACTGGGAGCCCGACGTGGGATTCGATCCCGGGTCTCCAGGATCGCGCCCTGGGCCAAAGGCAGGCGCTAAACCGCTGCGCCACCCAGGGATCCCTGATGACTCATTTCTAAACAAAATGTTAGGTATGACTTTTGTTCCACAAACATTTGTTTCAGGAAACCACATGTAATGTCCTGAATTTTCTGTCATATTTTAGCTAATGTTGGCAAAGTCATGAAAAACAAGTTCCTTATCTGTGACCATTCCATCTACTTTGGGAAAAAAAGCTCACAAAGATCCTTATACTAAATCTTTTATCTATCTCTCTTAATAATCAAAATATTTTACTAAATTATTCTCATGAGTATTTAATTAGTTGTTCAAATAAGAACAAATTTTCAAGACTGATCGCATTAAACAGATAAATGAAGTTAGAATATTTGTTTCTGGAGCCTTTAATGTACACAGCAATAACACATAATCAAGGACATTGTTGCCACTAAGTGAACAATCATCCATGCCAGGCCCTGTTCCAAGCATTTCACATATAGTGTCTTATTTAATTCCTTCTGTAGTCCCTCAAAAACTGTAAAGCTATTTTGATTTTTCACCTTTTACAGCAAAGAGCCAAAAGGAAACCTAGCTCTACTGCAGAGTCATACTCTTATCCAGTTTGTCTCTTGTCCACAGTCTGGAAAACATAGAAATGGAAAGTGATTGGTTGTTCCAATCAGAGAGATCCTGATTTTAAAGGAAATTTACATTTTGCTTCAAATTTTCAAAAGCAATCCTCTTGATCACTTAGTCTGTATCTCACGTATTGTTTCTAAATAGCATTTCTATTTTGTCAATGAAGACATTGTCATTATAATTTACTGATCACTCTAAGATTAATTTACATCTTAACTATTTCTCATAATGAGTGACAGCAAAAGCACAGATAATCAGGGTCCATAAGGTGACTCAAATACATTTGAATGATTACTTTCTGACTCTGTTAAACATTTGGGCTTTTTTTATCAGTAAGTTAAAAAACTAAAACAATTTCATTTTGACCTCCTTCTGACCCCATTATTTCTTGGTAGAATTCCTAATGTACAGTTAAGTGAGTGAAAGAAACAGCAGACAGAAGAGATGAGGCAAAAGTAGAGGCTCTGCATTCTGATAAGTGTGTGCAAGGATTTTTTTTTTCATTTAAGAGAGTTCAGAAAGCCTTTATTTGTCAAAATAAAGTAGAAATGTCTATTCAAATACCTTCACAACTTTTTAAATTGAATTTTCTTTTTATTATTAAGTTGTTTTTTTTTAATTTTATAAATTAATTTTTATTGGTGTTCAATTTACCAACATACAGAATAACACCCAGTGCTCATCCCGTTAAGTGTACCCCTCAGTGCCCGTCACCCATTCACCCCCACCCCCCGCCCTCCTCCCCCTCCAACACCCCTAGTTCATTTCCCAGAGTTAGAAGTCGTAAGAGTTTCTTATATTCTGGATGCCAGTCCCTTATCCAATATATAATTTGCAAATATATTTCTACATTCTATGGATTGCCTTTTTACTTTCTCAATACTGTCCTGTGAAGCACAGTTTTTGTTTGGATGAAGTCCAATTTGTTTATTTTTTCTTTGTGTGTATGTGTGTGTGTCTATTTTTTTAGCTTACCAAAAAAACATTGCCTAATCCAAAGTCATGAACACTCATGACCATGTTTTCTTTTAGAGTTTATACTTTTAGTTCTAAAATGTAGGA